TTCTGCACTTTATATTTTCAGTTCTTTAGTTTAATATCGTGTGTCCTGGCCTTACATTACTTGTTCAGGCGAAAAAGAAGAGGACGAGAAAGGTTAATGAGAGAAAAATTTATCTACAACTATACGAGGCAATTGAAGCTCTTGTCCATATGTGTAGAGATGGTTGTCGAATTATTGGCGCACATGACAAGATATTAAGAGACGATCAGCTCCTTGTAAGAATGAAGCTTGTAAGGGGTTAGAAATGTTTATTCGCCACTTTGCTCGGTGTAAGATGAGAGGTCCCAGTGGCTGCATCCATTGCAAGAGAATGTGGACAAGACCAATAAAATATTATTACACTTAAACACAAAACCTTTTTTTCTTTTTTCCTTTTTTAACCACATTCTTAAAAAAAAAATATTATTCCAAAAATTAGAATAGCAAATAATGGGAACCAACAATTAGCAAAATTTCTATCTGATTTTAATTCTAATTTGAAGAATTGAAAAACAATTATACATGTTTAAAAATGAATTGCTTCAAAATAAAATTTTAAAAATGAAAAAAAGTTTAGGGTTAATTTCACAAACGCTCACTAAAGTTATGTGAAAATAACAAAACGTTCACTAAAGTTTAAAACTTGCAGAAATGATCACTGAAGTTTCATGCGGTTTCAAAAACGGTCACTGAACTTAGTTTTAGTACTATTATATTTTAATTGAAACCTAAAGCATCAAAACACGTGGACATAGAAGCTAGAGGACCTTAAGTGAAAAATTCAACTTAAAATCTCCCCAACCCCAAACCCAGACCATCACTTTTCACGCCCCATTCCACCACATTCCTGCCACCAAAACCACCGAACCAACACACCATCTTGAAGCCTTCGCTTCCCTCTACGCAACACAACCAAGAACCGCCCCTACCTCCCATGGTAGTGGCCGAAATTTCGTCCCAAAGTGGGCCTCTTGCACAGCCGACAGTTTTGTGCTGTGTGAGAGGTCCATTTTTGGACAAAATTCCACCACTTTCCGTCCACCAAAATTACTGGACCAACACACTACCTTGAAGCCCTCGCTTTTCTCTGCGTAACCCACCCAAGAATCATCCCTAAATCCTTCGTAAAGTGGTGGGAATTTCGTCCCAAAGTGGGTTGCTCGCACAGTAAAAATTGTCAGCCGCCACTTTGGGACGAAATTTTGGCCACTTTCCGGGGGATTTAGGAGCGATTATTGGGTGGGTTGC